TTTCCGGAATCCAATTGGATGCTTTCCTAAATGCTGTCCCCATATAAACAAGTATATATGGGGACAGCATTTAGGAAGGCATCCATCTTGATGTTGATGACCTTACACACTGAGAATTGTGCCTGTTCACTCTGTCTGCAGAGCTATAGGCTGAACTATGCTTGGGCAGTGATTCCCAGACTTTGTTCCTCCAAATGTTTTGGAATTCATTTCCCAGAATTCCTGATTGTTGGCCAAACTGTGAAGTCCAAAACATTTGGAGGACCAAAGTGTGGGAAACACTATGCCAAGGTATAATTTTCATCAGACTAGGGCATGATGGAATGTTAAAAAGTTATTAGTCGATGGGTATCATAAACCAGGACTAGACTACTTTACTTTAGACTGTAGAGGGAAGCTCACTTGTTTGGTTTGTGGTAGTGGTGGTGGTGGTGGTGATGGTGATGTGATGAAATGTCTGTGCACATAGACATCAAGATAGCAAGAAGAAAGATATTTAGCCTAGCTTTATGCCTGACTCTTTTTCTGTCTGACAGTTTGTGCCTAATTTGTTTCCTATATGGAGTACCATTGCACCATGTGATCCTGAACTTGCAGTCTCAAATAATGGAGACTTGATGAAGACATATTGCACAGTTTTGTGTAATTTGTGAGAGCTATTTAGATATGTATCATATATGTTGTATAGTCAGTATTGTTGGACATCAAAGATTGGAACAACAATGGTGCATCTCCACTGTAGAAATAATTGCAATAGCAATAGCAATAGCACTTACATTTCTATACCATTTTATAGTGCTGAGCACTATAAATGTGTTAACCAATTGCCCCCAGCAAGCTGGGTACTCATTTTACCAACCTATGAAATGATGGAAGGCTTAATCAACCTGGAGCCCTGCAGTGTGACACTACTTGTTATGGCTCAATGCTAGGGAATACCAGGATTTGTAGTTTGTTGTGGAACCATTGTTCTCTGACAGAGAAGGCTAAATATTTCACAAAAGTACAAATCTTAGAATTCCACAGCATTGAACCATGGCAGTCAAAGCTGTATCAAACTGCATTATTTCTGCAGTGCAGATACAGCTTAAGAGAAGATGGTGATGTGAGAGAGAGTGCAAAATCATGTGTGAAAACGCAAACTGAAACTCAGTCAGTAAGCTAATTACATGTAGATATGTTCTAATCAAATCAGTAAGCTAATCATAAATAGATATGCTATTAGATTGCACTATAATATATATTTGTACTTCAAAGCACAGTAGCAGAAAGCAGTAGTGTGAAATTAAACTATACATATAAACAATTATGTAAAGGTATCAGAGGTAATTTCCCACCTAATGATATATTGGTATTACTTTTGATCTGTCATTAGGGGCTAGAGGGAAGTACTAATGCTTTCGGGTAAAATTTTAGCCAATTAGGAAGCAAGGATTTCATTCCTGCTACTGTTCATTTATTTTTAATGGGAATGTTAACAAAATCACATAGTCCTGCTTTATTTCAGCTCAGTTATAGCAGTTACTCCTTACATAATATCATTAAATTAAGGATGTGTGGAAATTTGAAATTACAGCAGTTTTATTTTTTCACAAGCTGGAGGATTAATTGCTTTATTATTGAATTTTGCATTGCTTTGAATTTACTGATGAGTAATCTATTCTCTCTGAAGACATATTTTGGCATTTTTCAAAGTCTGTTAACTTCCTAGAGAAAACTGTCAAAAATAAGGATATGGAAAGCTCAGTTTGGAACCGTAAATATAGTTTAAAATGTAGGAAATGAAAACCAGACTTTTAAGAGATACACACTTACACAGATAGATTTGCCAATTTTGTTTTTTCCAACTTAAAAAAGCAACCCTATTTTTTGCATCCTAGCATGAAGGCATTTTTTTGAACTTTGGTATGAAAATTTTCAAAACCAAGCTAAAACACAGTTCTCATCTATGGCTTCTGACAAACCTCTCCTATTTGTAATTTTGTAATTCTGAATAGGCCTCATGCCAAATGAGAGCAAATCATTTTTTGATAAAATAAAGCCGAACGAAAGCCAGGAATGCCTACTTTCAAAATCTGTAGAAACTGATGTTGTGGGAGATCAAATTTTACTGGTTTTTTTTAGTTGGTTGCTTTGACGGTAAGAAATCCAAGTGGGGAGGGTTCTTTGAAGATTTATTGGTGTCTGTGATGACTCCTTATGATTACTGGTTGAACAAGTAAAAGAAGGAAGGAGTGCTGGAAGGGATCTGTGGTTTCAATGGCATCATCAAACTGACACACATCTGCCTTGTAAAGCTTCACAATAGAATGATTTAATATGATTAAAGACTAGTCTCAAAAGACCAGTCGTAACACAGTTTAATTATGCACCTTCCATTAAGCATCATTTACGTACAGTGCTCTCTGGGTGGGGTTCGAAATAGGCGGAAATGATGTTGTCTGGCTAGAATTGCAGTCAATTGAATGGTTAGCCACTTGATTTGAATATTTACCTGTGCTCTGAAGCTAAATATGATGACTAATGGACTTTAAAGGGCACAGTCATCTGATAATTTCCTCCTAAGTTAATATTTGATATCCATCTATTTTTTTTTAAAAAATAAACAAACTTCAGAGCTGTGAAGGAGAATATGTATCATTCTAGAAAGCAATTTGATCATAAAAAAAGCAAAAACTTGCTTGCCTCATTCTTTCCTCTCCTTTCTCTCTCCCCCACCCCACTGCACAAGTATTTAAGTATCTATTTTCTTTAGATCTAGGATTTAGATATTTCAAATGAGGAACAATTTTGCAAAATACAGGAGCCAGTGTGGTATAGTGGTTTGCATGTTAAACTAGGACTGTGAAACCAGAGTTCAAATCCATATTCAGCCATGGAAACCCACTGGGTGACCTTGGGAAATCACATTTCCTTTGCAGCAGAGACAGGCAATGGCTAACTTCTGAACAGATCTTGTCTTAGGCAAGCTAAAGGCACACAGCACTAGGTTTGGGCAAGATCTGAAGCAATGTTAGGATAATTTAGGATCCTGATTTAAACCTTAAATGGTTATTTAAAGAGCATAATTGGAAATGATGTGGTATAGATAATTAGGTTATCTATAGCACAATATTTTTGCAGGTAAGAAGGACATAACAATATTAGTTTTATAGACTAGCAAGTGGTCATATTGTTTGATGAAACAAGTAATGTTTATTTCTTAAGATTATTTCCCAATGATGTTTAGAAAGTAATGTCTACTTGTAGCTTCCCAAATATCAGGGGGTGGGGAACATTTGAGTGTATTTGGGGGGCAAATTTTAATATTTTAAGGGTTTTTTAATAGATATTGCCAGAGAAATGTAATTTGCTATCACGGGCCCAAAGCAGATGGGCCAAATAAAGGAGGCATGGTGTTTATATGACTCTAAGGCTACCTAAGGCAGCCCAAAGCCACTCCTATTGGTAGCCTGCTTTGAGAGTGGGCCATGCAATTGTCAACTGTGGCTGGAGTGGCCTCTGGATGCTCTGCTTTGGCCTATGGTTATCAAAAAGTAATAACTAAGGAATTTATCACATGGCAGACACAGCGTCCTCCTCCCATCATTAAATCGAATTTAAATCATCATAATTGTGCAATCAGGGTTCACACCCCCATTCTTTTCTTCCATGCTTAAATCGTAATGGAGCTGTCCCCGCACACTTGTCCCGTTATTACCCATTATTAACAAATGACAATTCCATTACACTTTTCTGATGGGACAAGTATGTGGGGATAGCTCCATTACAATTTAAATACCAGAGAAGAACAGGAGAAAAGTGAGGGGTGGATTAAATGATAGAAATTAAAGAGGATTTAGACCCAGTACTAAATACATAATTAGTGTATAAGGAGATGAAGGTAGACGAGGACACTCAAAGGAAATAAAGCAGAGAAAAGTATGAAGTTTTAGATAAGTGGAAATATCAAATTTAACACAAATGGAACATGGAAGTATAAGATTTGAGATTTAAGATTTAAGATAGGCAGAAGCGAGGAAGCTTCTCGTTAGCTGGTAGTAGAAAAGAAGGTCAAATAAACAGAATGTAATCAACCAGTACTAGTAAGAAGGAAGTTCAGAATGGCAGGATTGGAATGAAAGTAGAGTGGTGTGAATTAAAATAGAGGTGGAAATGGTTTGAATGGAAAAGAAGAGGAAGGTGATAGGAAGTAGATGAAGGTAAGAGAATGTGTTGAGGAAGGAAAGGGAAGAAGGAATAAATAGGAGGCTAATAGAGAGGAGTAAGGAACAAGAGATGGGATGAAATAGAGGGATAAGAGTCAGGAGAATGGAAGAAAGGATATGGAAAGGATATAATAGGATGAGAGGTGAGACTGCAGCAGAGTTGTTAATTTAGTAAGAGAGTATAGAAAGAAGTAGAGGAAAGTAGAATAAGTAAAGAAAGAAGAGTTGAGAAGATTCAAAGAAGAATGAAAGACAATATGGATATTGTTTGTTTACTTTTATAATTTATAAATCTGTTAACTTATATCAGTCCTCAGGAGAAGGCAATGGCAAACCTCCTCTGAACAGATCTGGCCAAGAAAATCCAATGAAAGGTTTACCTTAGGGTCGTCATAAGTCAGAAATGACTTGAAGGTGCACAACAACAACAAAGTGAAACATAAAACCTCTGACAAGGTATCAGTGTCAAGTGACTTAGGCTGTGTCCACATTGGTGAAATAACCCAGTCTGACAGCGCTTTAACTGCCACAGCACCATGCTATGGAATTCTGGGAAAGGTACTTTGTTTTGGCACCAGCAACAAACTACATTTCCCAGAATTCCATAGCATGGAGTCACGACAGTTAAAGCACTGTCAAACCAGATTATTTCAGCAGTGTGGCACCATGAAGAAAAGTGTGGCATCATGCACAGAATACAATCATATTTTGCATAAACTGCGAACTGAAAAAATACCTCAAATGGAATAAAATAAATAAATAAATAAATAAATAAATTCAAAAATGCAGGAAAAAAACTCTTGTAATCTTATCTACTGGGGAGCAAATATTTATTTATTTATTTATTTACTTATTTACTTATTTATTTATTTCTGCCTGCTATTGGTTGTGCTAGAATTAAATAAGGAAATACACCTCCACTTAACAAGGTGACACTGGCCAAGCATTCCATAGTAAATTCTGCAAGACTTGCTTGAGTGCTGTTGCTGATTGCCATAATGCAGTACCATTAGCCGATGTATTGCTGACATGTGCTGAAAGAAGATACCAGACGGAGGTATTGAGTAAGCTAAGGATCACTTCAGTAATTTACATAAGATCTGAAGTGAGGCAACAACCATTGTGGGCTTATGCTGAGGCAGGAATCCTAATACACCTCCTCCCCAACAATGCCATGTGAGAGTCATTCATGACCCAGGTTTGAGTCCTAATGCCTAGCCGGGGGGGGGGGGGCATTCACATTCATTTATTTATTTTTGTCCCAAGGAGATGCAGTTCACTACACTGATGCATATCGGGTTTGTTGTTCCCATTTTGGTTTGGGTTTGCAAATGTCTTTGATTGGGAGTTCCTGCAAGGCAAGGGGTTGGACTGGATGGCCCTTGTGGTCTCTTCTAATTCTGTGATCCTATGATTCTATGAGTCATTGTAACCCCTTTGTTATTCACACATGTCATACTTTTGGGATAAAATAGAGCTGCCTCCAGTCCCTTGAACAATAGTGAGTGATCTGAATCAATTTGGAAGCTTATTCACACTGCTGAACATGCAGATTGATTCAAATCTTTCAGGAAAACTCAGGGGAAAACCCAATACTGAATATCCCAGGTTAAGTGGTTTTTTTGCCAGCCCACACAAAAAGTTCATTGAGTGCATTCGGGATGTGTGAACAACAAGGATTCTACCTGGATTAATCCTGGATTATTTTCGTAGTGTAAATGAGGCCAGAGATTATTGACTGGTGTCAATATAGGAAGCTATAAGAGCAGGCCTGCTGATTATCTAAGCAAGACATTCAGAATTTGTTAATAACAGTTATCTTTAACTTCTCAGAAGAGCTGCTAGTTTGTTTATGAATCATACACACAATTTATTTATTTGTTTGTTTGTTTATAAATCATACACACCTGCACATGTGTGTCATTCAGTAAGCACTTTTTTGCTTCCATCCCAGCTGACAGTTATCAGCTATATAGATGCTGCATGCTGAGGTGGGATGAAATTTTTATTGCTCAACCCTGTGTAATTCACAATGGTAGTAAATCAGCTTTAGGAACTGAGGCTGTTTGCAGGCAGATTAGGAGAATGACTGGAAAATTGCCTTCAGCATTTTTGTTCTTGATCCTCAAGTTATGGGGAACAAGGAGAAAGAAAGTCGTTTGGTGAAAAGCACCTACAGTTTGTTTTGCCCATCCCTCTTTATATCAGTTTTCAAAAGGAAATTGCATACTTATGATGAATTGTGACCTAATGTGCAGCTCAGAGAGGTATTCTGTCATGCATTGTGCATAACTGGAATGGTAACATATTAATAGCAGTGGCAGTCTTAGTTGCCAGAGAGTCTGATGGTTGGAAAAATCATATGGAGATTAACTTTTTTTTAAAAAAGTCTGCATATATTTAATACAGATGGAACATTGTTTTAACTCCACTGGCTTTCCTCCACAAATTAATTAATGATTCTTATGGTGTATATCCCATCTTCTTTCTCTCTCTTTCACCACCCCACACACACTCAAGAAGGTTTCCAAAGTTAAAGGAAAAAATAGCATAATCAAACAAAATATTTGGTTCTATGAGTTATACAATCCAGAGAGAGCAAATCAATAGAAGCAGAAATACAAGCACTTAAAGTGTTTAAATACAACAGACTTTGTTGCATACCAAAAGTGGATAATGAAGAGGCCAGACAGACCTTTCATTGGAAGCGTTTCTGCAAATGGGGCACCTAACCTAGATATATAGCAAATGTCTCATTCTCTGAGTAATTTTTATTGAATAAAAACTACATAAAATAAAAATTGTTTTATTTCATTTTCATTTCATTTCATTTCATTTTGTATTTATTTTATTCATTTTCATTTTATTTTTGTTTTACTTTTTATTTTTATTAATTTTAATTTAATTGTTTTTAGTTTATTTTTTTAGCACTGAGCCAGGGCAGTTAAAGTGGTCTCAAATTGGATTATTTCTGCAGTGTGTTTTGGGCTCTTATCATCATGCCTGATTTAATTTACAAATACATAATTTTTGAGCAGAGTTGACCAAAGACAATTTGTTGCCCTGGTAAAGAATAAAGAGTGCAGGACTCCTTTCTACTGTACATGGAGAAACCAATAGCATTAGGGTGGGGTGTGAGATGGGGAGGTGTCCACTCAGGGTGACCAAATGTTAAGGCACTGCAAAATCCTAAACCCTAAATTTTTCTAAATACAAAGCAACTTGCTTGCCTCAAGTACTTTAAAAATAAAAATCCATTCAGGCTTGAAATGCATGGGCCAAATAAAGCAGCTTCCGGTCAATTTGGGGTTGTGATGTTTAGATGACGCACACCCCTAAAGCACCTGGAAACTGTGCTGAGGCTATGCTAAAGGATGACAACCTGTCCCAAAAAAGGAGATGATTTAGTTCAACTCCTGGCAGACATGGCTCTGGACTGCAGCAATGGACCACTTCAGGAACAGACCATGCGGCTGCCACAGTCCCATCCCTATCATGGCCAGAGCAGCAGGAAGTCACTCTTTCTGGGCTGTCTGCTTCAGTCCTCAGTCAACACTTTCCACCTTCTCTATTGTTTTTGTTTGTGAGACTTCAGTAGCCTCAAAAATTCAGAAGGCAATTTTCCAATCTATTCCGTTTTCCTAGAATCATTAATAATGTGAAGACTC